AATGAAAACCTTTACTTTTTTGACTCAAATTCTACTGATTCTAATGATAAAAAGTGGAAAAAGAATCAAACGAAACACTATGCTACAACAAATAAAACGTAAATTTTAATATTTAATAATTTTTTTTTAACTGGCACATAGGTGGTATTTTTTGACATTTTCTTGGAGCTCATTAATATTCAAGTTTATATTTGTTTATAGGTAACTAAAAGTAGTTGCTTTCATGATGACCTCATCCCCACCGACATTGAGCAAGTTCCTGATCTAATTCAAAGCCCCCAATATCATTGAGATCTTGTTCAAATAATGACTTTTAGTGTTTGAAAAGGATAAATGCATATTGAAGAGAAATATTGAATTTTTTTAATAGAGACAGCTTGTTTGAAAAAAAAACTGAAAAAACTGAAACTAGTTTTCCTCTTTAATATAAACAAATACAAAACTAACACACATTTAACAAGCGTCAAACCATAATATGGTTTTGAGGTTTCTCCATTTCTCGACAGTTTTTGATGAGCCAGGTGCTAATAAAGACATCAAACGACGCCTCTGTTTTTGCCATTTTGTGTCAATACGAAGTGTCAGTGTGAATCCCAGCCAAAAGAAAAAAAAATACTTAAACACTGAACTCAACAATCAAACAAGGTGGCTGACATTGGTTAAAAACTGTTTGAAAATATTTTCTTGGTTGATTTTCTTTGATTATATACAGCTTTAGTATCCACCAAGCAAATCCCACATTTTCATTGGCTATTGAGCTATGATAGACATGGTATATTCATTATATACTTTCTTTCTTTCTTTCACGATTCATTGCAACTCTGTACTTAGAAGAATTTGTTTCAGGTTTATAAAAAAAAAAACACTTTTTTCGTTTTTCACCGAATGTGAATAGAACTTCAACTGAAACATTAAACAGTATGTTGAAAATTGTTAAATAAATATAATATATCCTCAGGCCCAAATGTTACTCAATTTTACAATGAAGTTATTGGTTGTCACCATCAAATCCACCACTTTGCATTTCAGTTCGTGACCTGTATAGCTGTGTTCAAAACTGATGTTTCAAGGCCGATGATTATGGACTGTGCATAATTGTATCAGAGAYAGGTTGACGGAATTTAAGGTGAATAGCCACATCGAAAAGTATTGCTTAGAATAGTGTATAATGACTTAAGCCGGCGAGATCGATTTATAATCTGTTCTACGTGACAGTCGTTCTACGTCAAAGAAGTTTAACCCAACGAAGAAAAAACATGAATACCTTAGACTGTGTAAAATGGTGCTTCGTTCTGGCCTCTCTTTTCCCATCTTCACCTGTGACATCGGAAGGAATTTATAAAGACGGTAAAGTAGTTATTGGGACCCTCTTAAATGTGCGACACAAATGTGGCAAGATGTCACCGAATGGACTTTCCTATGTGGAAGCTGTGTTGTATGCAATACAAACCATAAACAATGATAAGTCTCTTTTGCCAAATGTRACTTTGGGATACGATATAAGAGACATTTGTGCAAGTACAACATTGGCAAACCGCGAGGCCTTTGATTTTGTCCTTAGAAATAAAGCCGTAAAACTCAAATTCAAAATGAATGACACTGCTGACAGATTTGAAAAGTACTTTGGGTCCCTTAGGATTCTTCGGAAGCCAGTTGCGGCAGTTGTAGGAACCACTGATTCCAGTAGCTCTGTCGTTGTCGCCAGCATGTTGAGCATTGACGATATCCCCCAAGTCAGCCCCTCTGCCACAAGTGAGGAACTTAGTCAGCTTGATTACAAGACTTTTTTCCGGCCAGTTCCACCAGACGGACAACAAGCCAAAGCACTCGCTGACCTTGTTGACTATTTCAAATGGAAATACGTTTACGTCGTTGGTAGTGATACGTCGTACGGGAGATACGGYSTKATGGCMTTTGAAAGAGAAGCTTTAGAAAGAAAGACGTTTTGCATCTCTAAAATCTCCTACTTCCCAACGACCCACTACCACCAAACGATTAAAGAAATACTTTCAAACATCAAAGTCGCGAAGAATGTGAAAGTGATAGTCTTATGGGCTGATGGCAATTCTGGGCGTAGTTTTATAGACGAAGCGAATAGGCAGGGCATTTCTGCGCGCACGTGGCTTGCACCCGAAAGTTTTTCTGAGACAACATCTCTCTTTAAAAACAAATACATGAAAATAATAGGAGGATTCTTGGGAACAAAACTAAGAAATTATAACATCACTGGATATTTAAGACAATTAACTTCCTTGAACTATTCATATGCAAGAGTTCAGAACCACACTTGGTGGAGGGACTACTGGATACTCCAACGGAAATGTAAAAACATTTTGACATGCGACTTTCACAACTTTCGCATCACAAAACAACGATATAAAGAAATGTATACTAATTACCTCCCTTATTTCATCGACTCAGTATATGCGATTGCGYATGCCATAGATGCTATATACCGCTGTCGTGGGAATGATTGTCCAAAGACTGAACCATTTATTGATACAAAAGACATTTTAAGATACATGCGCAATGTAACGTTCGAAGGAGTAACGGGGAAAGTCGATTTTGATAAAAATGGAGACTCCATTAGTTCGGCCGCTTATGATATTGTTAATTTACACGCAGGGACTACTGTCCCTCTGTTGAAGACAATCGGCACATGGGATCGGGGTGAGGCAAGGCGATTAAAGATAAACAACGATTTATTGTATTGGAATAACGGTTCCAACAATGTTCCAGTATCAATATGTAAAGAACCTTGTACACCAGGGCACATGCAGACAGTGACAGTAGCATGCTGTTGGAAGTGCATCCGCTGTCCATTTGGCTTTATTAGTCAGACTTACAGCTCCTCGCAGTGTACAGAGTGTCCAATAGATAAAATGCCTGACCAAAAACAAATAGAATGCATTGACTTGCCAGAAGTGAATATCTCATTTCTTGATTCTCAGTCCATTGTTCTCCTCGTGGTGGCGGCCATCGAGCTTATTTTGGTTCTCTTTGTCCTTRCCATCGGCTTGAAATATCGAAATACMCCAATTGTCAAGTCTGCCAATCGAGAAATGAGTGTCTTATTTCTTTTCGGTATAGTCGTTGGTATAGTATCTGGAGTTATCCTCCTTGCTCGCCCTACACCGTTGATATGTTATTTAGACAACCCGCTCCACGCACTCTACTATACGCTATGTTTGTCCATTCTAATCGTCAAGACCAACAAGTTGGTTCGAGCGTTTGAATTGAATTTTGCCACATCAAGAATTAGTCAGTTTTGTACCGGTAAGAACTCGCAATTTGTCATTCTGTTCTTTTTGAACGTGATATCAATAGTACTGGTGACAATGTGGCATGTACTCGACCCTCCTTACGTTCACGTTACAATGGAGCGTTTGAAATCAAAGCACTTAGGATGCAGAGGACATAAGGGAACTGTTGGCCTTGCTCTTCAAGCATCATTGTATGCATACCAGTTTAGTCTGTCCATCTTCTGTGCTTACTACGCATTCAAGGCCAGGAACCTACCAGAAAACTTTAGCGAAGCACGTTACATTGCCTTGGCAATGTACATGCAACTTCTGTGTTCAATGTGCTATGCTATATTGCAAAACACTGTGACGGGAAATTTTTTAACAATTTTCTCATCAGCGATCATAATTCTGAGTTCCTTTGGTTTTCTGGTGTGTATGTTTGCTCCAAAAGTTTACATCATTCTGAAATTCCCTGAAAAAAATACAGCGCAATATATGAAAGCATCTGTAGCAAGTCACTCTTTTCAAAGAAGCTTGTTAAAAGTTGTACCCCTTGATGTTACGGTCTGTCGTGGTAGTAACAACCTTCAAGAAACAACTCGCAATCGTCAATCAAACGTTCTCGGCATGGAAACCCTGACGGTTACAGAACCTAGTGGAGACTCTGACGGAGCTGGCAAGGGAGCAGAAGCTTTTAAATGCAATTTAAAACCCGGTAGAGTTCTGAAAGAACGGAAGAAGAACCGAAATTGCGTGGCCAAAAACTCCGATATCGTTCTCAATAAACAGGGAGGTTCAGYTGTTTCAAAAAGTGAGGACAATTTTGAGGCCTACATTCCTGACATTCTTGAAATGAATACATGCACACAGAAGAACAAAGATCGTCGACAAACACAAAAACAAAAAAACAACAGTGGAATCGAGAGGCCAACCATGTTGGAACTAGAAATAAAGCCAAATCGTAAAGGTCATGCTGGCACTCACCTCTGACAAAAAAACAGTCGAATACACGTCCTAACAGAGAGTCTTCTTTGAACATTTGAAGACGATGTATAGGCTGTTTACATTTCAATCATTGTTGGTCCCGTAAACCAAAGACTTGCTCATGGATTGCTCAAAGTCAGGTCAGACGATGAGTCTGCTACTGGTAACATTGTAACCCAGTACAACCTGCCTCATGGACGGGTCGTCGGCGTCTAAACCGGCTCCCCCACCAGTCTAACTGGTGAGGAGGGTGGCATGTACACCCAGCAGGACTAAAAACAAGACCTGNAAACAACAGTGGAATCGAGAGGCCAACCATGTTGGAACTAGAAATAAAGCCAAATCGTAAAGGTCATGCTGGCACTCACCTCTGACAAAAAAACAGTCGAATACACGTCCTAACAGAGAGTCTTCTTTGAACATTTGAAGACGATGTATAGGCTGTTTACATTTCAATCATTGTTGGTCCCGTAAACCAAAGACTTGCTCATGGATTATCTGAAAACGTTGCTATTGAATATCACATGTGTTCACTGATCCCAAAGATAGTACAAAGATAAATAAGCATTTCAGAACTTTACCATGCTCGCGATATAGTACTACGGAAACATCAGTTGTTGCTTAGAAAATGGCACAAACTATTGCATTTCAGTCTTATTTTATACTTTCAAACGAGACCAACATGAGCCCGGAGTAGTCAACGAGGAAAGAGGAGCAAGAACAAGACTKGTTGTAAGCGTATGAAAATAGGCATTTGCATGAAATGTTGGATGGCAAAATACCATTGGAATGTTCAAAACAATGAAAAGTCAAGTTTCTCGGGCTGCCTTCCTTTAGAGGTTGTTTTCTTTTGCCATCCAATATGGGTTATTTATAAACACGTGTTATTTCGTTTTATGCAAAAAGCCTATTGAAAGCTGAGAAATTATGAAAACAGTGGCAAACATTCTATATAGGCGTCTTCTATAAACAGAAACTTGCATAGGTCATGATATAGAAGTGAATAGTGTACATGCATGTATTTCTTTAAGATGTGCTTATTTATACTAGACTTACTAGGACTATTGATAAAGAACAGTGACGGAGTTACTGAATAAAAGGGGGTGGCTAACTAAATATAGATTTAGAATATTTCCCGCTGTTTTGAAGTCCCTTTGAGGCTTGTTATTAATACTAGATAGCTCGAAGTACGCTTTTGAATTTTGATCAGTTTAGCACAAATATAACTCATGAAAGTGAATTTAACTGCCAATAATGTATCAAAAAAGTTTTAAAAACTCCTTTTATGGTGTCAAGGGCGGATCAAGTGGAGGTGCTTTGGGTGCGGACGCACCCCCCCTTTTCGAACGACATCATWTTTTTATGTATCAGTATAAATGTTTTTGTGCTGTTTATACTCCTGTTGTACTTTTATCAAGAAAACGCTAGTAGCATACACAACATGTGTCTGCCACTATGCTGCTTAACAATCTATTTGAGTAGTGTAGTCAAAAAATACGTTGCAATAAAAGTCAATTTCCTTTCGGTCAAATTGTGCATATTTTTCTTGCTCTAGACAATACGCAGCTAACAAAAATGATCAGTCCCATCAAGGGCACCAGGACAACCATAACAGTTTTTGAATGATATTACGATTGTATTTGTTGTTGTTATATTTTTGCCCCCCTCGTATTGTAATACGAGGGGGGGGGGGTATAAAAATGGCTTTAAAAATCAATTTTTATTCATAAAACTGTTTATACTTATTAAAGAAAAAAGAAAAGAAAGAGAAAGTCTTGAAAAGTCTCAAGAAATGAAGTAGAAAAAATTTACGGCTTCATGAGGGCTCGAACCGCGAACCCCGCAATTAATACTTTGACACCGACATCTTTGACACCGCCGTGAAAGCAACACAACTGTTGAGCCTGGCCCCCCTGTGACGCCCCGTTAATTTAACGGTCGTTTACTACGTACTCGTACCAAGCTGTACCGTCCGCTTATGCAGCCGCGCGATTTAATCTACGTCACTAATATCGTTAATATAGTTAAGAAATTTACCCTAAGTTCATTAATAGTGAACTCCCCAATAATAGTGAACTCACTAATAGTGAACTTAGGGTAAATTTCTTAACTATAAGTGTTACGAACTTAACCTCCTTAAGTTTCTCGCCTAAAGGTGAGAAATAAATGTGGAACAACTGATCTGAGACTCRGAACATGACGGATGTACAAAAACTCTGTCAAGATGGCAAATTAATCACACATATTTACAAAGAAACATTTCTTATCTGACATAATATTATATGAAATTTGTGGAATTCAAGATTGTTCAATCACTAGACATTTTACGTGGGACATTGCAACACGTTACCGTTACATTTTTTTCATTTTCTTTTTCATGCTTCAGAACCATGAGTGTACAAGTATCATGACATAGTGTACAACGACAACATTGACCGTGGGGGGTGGGGAGAGACTGTAAGGTCGTGTCGTCTGTAGAAAAACGAACACGATGTGTTAAGAAGAGTAACTGTTTATCGTGTCCAAATGTATATTGTCCATAATTGTAGCATGAAAACATACAGCCTTTTGCAAAAATTATGAGAATTGTTGAAATATCTAAATATCATAATATCGAGTGCATAATGGGTAATCACGCGCGATGCCCTTAGTCCCTTGTCTTTGTAGTTTAGTTTTTTTTTGGCGACAGACTTATCCGTAGTTCTGAACATTTTCTCGATGTCAACAATGAATTATTTTAGCAAACCCGCGTGTTCCGGACAATATATGGATATGGATATTATGATATTTAGATATTTAGACAATTCTAATAATTTTTGCAAAAGGCTGTATGGACTTAAAAAAGAATAAAAKAATAAAAGAATATGATCGGGAATTTATAGGACTTCAGTGGAAAAATAAGTGTAGATATTTTCAGAAAATAGAAAGGGGTAAAATTTCCATATTACATGGAAATTTCAATTTTCTGCTCGCAATGTGTTTTCCTACATTTGACAGTAGAAACCCGGAGCATTATGTTTCAGTGATATTTTTTCTCTCAGATATCAATTTTAATTGACATGGCTGCGGCAAATTTCGATGTCTTGAATACGTGCTTCCAAGGAATTACTATCTACTTTGAGTTCATCTMTGTTTCACCGTGCTCTTAAACTTTTAAACCAAATCCTGCTTTGCCTGAAGCTCTCAGGAGAAAGGGTCTCACTTGAAACACGACCCACAAAGATATGTGGCATAATTGGCATAGTCATAGCCGATTTATTGAAATATTGATGATAATGAATAAACGCTTCCTTAAAAACTGGCAAAAAGGTCTSAGTTTAATATCGTATCATAGATCTTAGCTAACAATAGCAGCACTCGGTTATGCATACAACAGATGGCTTGCTTTCCATGTGGGATAGGRGCAGTGTTCATCTTTAATTGAGATTTGCCGGAAAAAAAGATGGTATGTACAAAAACATGTCAATTTTTAAAACACTAATGAAGATATTGCATTTGTAGGCGAATGGCGTTTCCCGCTAATTTGACGATTCATTTTAAACATAAACAGCTTTAAGAATTTTCGAAAAGTAAACCCAGACGCCACACTGAAAAAACTGAATTAGTGGAGTAGCCAATCATGACCTTTCTACATGTACAGATATTACATTTTAACTCGGCGAGAGATCACCTAATCTGAGTTCATTGAAAACCAGCTTTTATCWATAGATCACTCGGAGACGAAACAGAAAACAAAGGWCAAAGCWCGACATTGTCAAAYATTTTTTMATTAAAGTTTTTTTGGTGAGCCTGACTCCAAATACACATATAGGAATATTCAAAATCCATTCAGCAACATTGCTAATAAAGTTATTTTAATGTTGGGTTAGCTCATAGGTGAAAAAGCGCAAGTATGGAGAGGAATAATATAAATTTTAATCTTTTGTAAAAATGTTTAATGCAAGGATTTAGTGTATTTTTTCTCTCATGATGTCGCCTTCAATCCTTGGATTCGTCTTTTCTATAAYAGAAAAAAATGTACATTTGTTCAAACTGATTGTGCCATTAAAGACGTTAATGTTTGTCACCATTCAGATCATTCAGATCATCGTACTTAATAAAGAATAAGTTAAATCTCAGCAAGTGACCTGTCTCTGTGTTTAAAACTAATGATCTGAAAGCCGGTACACTATATCCATAAATATATGATATCTGAGACATAATGTTGAGTACAAATTACCAAAGTCATTCTGAAGACGAGATTCATATGGATGATTCTTGTTTAGGAAAATATGAAATGAGTTCTGTTAATACGTCTAAAGACGAAAGAAGAGTAAAGATCCGAATCATGGATAATATATAACTTCGTGTGAAATTCTGTTTCGTCTCGCTCTTTCTTCTCCAATCGAAATTGTTTGGCAAAGAAGGACTTTAAAAGAACGGCTATTAAGCCATTCTCGACGCTCTCTTACCTGTACAATCTGTTACTACATCTAAAAAATGAGTTCTGTTAATACGTCTAAAGACGAAAGAAGAGTACAGATCCGAATCATGGATAATATATAACTTCGTGTGAAATTCTGTTTCGTCTCGCTCTTTCTTCTCCAATCGAAATTGTTTGGCAAAGAAGGACTTTAAAAGAACGGCTATTAAGCCATTCTCGACGCTCTCTTACCTGTACAATCTGTTACTACATCTAAAGAGTTAAACCAGCGTATAGAGAAAATATGAATACCTTAAAGTGTTTGAAATGGTCCTTCGTCCTGGTTTCTCTTCTGCCATCGTCACCTATCACATCCGAAGGAATATACAAAGAAGGTAAAGTCATTATCGGCGCTCTGTTACCAGTTCGATACAAACATGCCGACGCCTCATGCGAAGAATTGACTCGCGTTGGACTTGCTTTTGTGGAAGCGGTTTTGTATGCAGTAGAAACAATTAACAATGACAAGTCCCTCTTGMCAAATGTGACTTTGGGATATGATATCATAGACGTTTGTTTCAGTACAGCATTGGCAAATAACATGGCATTTGAGTTTGTTTCTAGAAATAAAGCTACAAAACTCAAGTACCAAGTCAATGACACTTCTGACAGCTTTCAAAAATACTTTGGAATTGTTCGGAAGCCGATTGCAGCAGTAGTGGGAACTGGAGATTCCAGCAGCTCTGTCGTAGTCGCCAGCATGTTGAATATTGATGATATTCCTCAAGTCAGCCCGTTTGCCACTAGTGASGAACTSAGCCAGCCCTATTTCAAGACGTTCTATCGACCCGTGCCTCCAGACGGACAACAAGCCAAAGCCCTCGCTGACATTATAGACTATTTCAAATGGAAGTTCGTGTACGTTGTTGGCGAGGACTCTTCTTACGGAAGATATGGCATTATGGCCTTTGAAAATGAGGCTTTGAAAAGAAGCACCTTCTGCATATCAGAAATATCCTACTTTCAATCGTCCGGTTTCCAGCAAAAAATGAAAGCCRTAGTTGAAAAAATCAAACATGCGCCAAATGTGAAAGTAATAGTTTTATGGGGAACTCTCATTACTTCGATTGCTTTCATAGAAGAAGCGTACAGGCAGGGCTTTACTGGACGCACGTTTCTTACACCCGAGATTTTTTCAGAAGCAACACCTTTGTTTAAGAACAAATACATTCAAATAATTGGAGGGTTTGTGGGAACAAGGCTAAGAAACTACAACCTTGATGGATATTTTCGCCATTTAACMASSTTGAACTATTCATCTGCAAGAGTTCAGMACCATACTTGGTGGARAGAGTACTGGATGCTCCAAMAGAAWTGTGAAAACATTTTGACMTGCGACTTTCAAAACTTTCACATCACAAAACAACAATATGAAGTCATGTATTCTGCTTATCTCCCTTACGTTATCGACTCAGTATATGTTATCGCACATGCTCTTGATGCTATATACCGCTGCCTTGGCAATGATTGTCCAAAGACTGAACCATTTGTTTATCCAAAAGACATCTTAAGTTACATGCGCAATGTAACGTTCGAAGGAGTAACAGGAAAAGTTGAATTTGATAAAAATGGAAACTCCATTAGTTCGGCCGCTTATGATATTATTAATTTACACGCAGGGACCACAGCCCCTAAATTGAAGAATATCGGCACATGGGATCATGGCAATGCGATTCGATTGAATATAAGCAATCATTCATTGTATTGGAACAACGGCACTAACAAGGTTCCAATATCGGTATGCAAGGAACCTTGTCGACCAGGGTACATGCAGACACTGACAGTGCCATGTTGTTGGAAGTGTATCCGCTGCCAGATTGGATTTGTTAGTCAAAGATACAGCTCTTCGAAATGCACTGAGTGTCCATTAGACAAAATGCCTGACCAAGATCGGACAGAGTGCATTGACTTGCCTGAAATGAATATCTCATTTCATGATTCTCAATCAATTGTCCTCRTTGTAGTGGCGGCCTTTGAGCTTATTTTAGTTCTCTTTGTCCTTGYCAYCGGTTTCAAATACCGAAATACGCCAATTGTCAAGTCTTCCAATCGAGAAATGAGTGTCTTATTTCTTTTCGGTATAGTCGTTGGCATAGTTTCTGGAGTTATCCGCCTTGCTCGCCCTACACCGTTGATTTGTTATTTCAAYAACCCTCTTCAYGCCMTCTACTACACGCTATGCCTATCGATTCTAATCGTCAAGACCAACCGATTGGTTCRAGTGTTTAAACTGAATTTCGTGTCGTCAAAATTTAGTCAGCTCTGTAATCTYAAGAATGCGCAATTTGTGATTCTGTTCTGTTTAAACACGATAGCAATAGTATTGKTGACATTATGGCATGTACTCGACCCACCTTATGTTCACGTTACAATGGAACGTTTAAAGTCAAAGCACTTRGGATGCAGAGGACATAAGGGAACTGTTGGCCTTGYTCTTCAAGCATCATTGTATGCATACCARTTYAKTCTGTCCATCTTCTGTGCTTACTACGCGTTCAAGGCCAGGAAYCTACCAGAAAACTTTAGYGAAGCACGTTACATTGCCTTTGCAATGTACATGCAACTTYTGTGTTCGATGTGCTATGSTATATTGCAAAACACCGTGACGGGGAGGTTTTTAACAATYTTCTCATCAGCGATATTATTTGTAAGTTCAATTGGKTTTCTCGTGTGTATGTTTGCTCCAAAGGYYTAYATCATTCTTAAATTCCCTGAAAAAAATTGTGCAGAATATGTAARAGCAACTATTGCGGATCACTCTTTTCAAAGAAACTTTAACATTGGTGTTGCTAAGGGAAGAGATGCTTTTTCTGGCGATAGCAACCTTAAGAAAGAAATCCGACATCAACAATCAAAAGATCCTGGCAAAACGACCACGGAGTTTGCAGAACCGGTGGAAGATTCTGATGGAGTTGTTAAGGGGACAGAAGCTCACAAATGCAGTAACAACTCTGATAGAGTATTGAAGGATCAGAAGAAAGACGAAGACGATCGCAAAAAAAAAAAACAATCTTGATGTCAAGAAACAGAGAAGTTTAGATAGTCCAACAAATRAGTTTATTCTTATGACCAGCAACACCTCCTTACAATCAGGAAATGATTAAGACAAATCATAATCCGATGTGTCGTTATAAAGAGGGTCGTTTTGCATATCTCGAATATTGTACTACCGGTCACAAGCAAAAAATGGGAGCGAATGAAAAATCAAACTCTTGTTGAATGTGAAAGTGGTAGTTGTATGGTGTGATAAAATTACTTCAACTAGTTTTAATTATAGAAGAACCATCAAGCAGAGCATTATTGAACGCACGTGGCTTGCACCCGAAGAGTTGGTCCGAGGCAAAAAAATAAGTTTAGGAATAAATACATGCAATCAATTGGAGGATTTGTAAGAACGAGGCTGTAAAACTATAACCCAAATAGATATTTTCGCCATTTCACCAGCTTAAACTATTCATCTGCAATAGTTCAGCACCATACTTGGTGGAGAGAGTGGATGATCCAGCAAAACTGTAAAACATTTGTCATGCGACTTTCAAAACTTTCGCATCACAGAAAAACGTTTATTAGACTGCATTCAACACTTACTTCTTCGACTCAGTTTATGTTATTGCTCATGCTCTAGATACTATGTATACCACTGCCGAAAGAATGATTAGCTCAAAGAATGAGTCATTTATTATCGACAAAAGACATTTTGAAATACGTGCGCAATGCATCCTTCAAAAGGGTAACGGGAAAAGTAGATTTGATAAAAATGCACGGAGACTACATTAATTCGGCCGCTTATGATATTGTTGACTTGGTACGTGCAAACAAACCGTTTGAGGGGAGGGACAGGAAGCCCGACAAGAAAACGGATGCGAAGGAGACTAGTGCAGACAATAACAGTTTTGGTCTTTTGTTGTGTGTTTATATTCCTCGAATTCTCAGGTTGGGCGCACACTCAGACCCTCACGACATAGCTACTTTTTTTCTTTTTTATCAATTTTCGAATTATAACCTGAATCTATAATGTATATAAAAAAAAACATCTACTACAGCCTATACCTCTGCGTGTTACAAAATAGTTGAGAGAACTGTCACAAACCAATAGAGGATAATTTCATGAAAAAAAAATGTACATAGACCACTTTCATAAGTGCCTACCATTAATTTTATACAATTGACAGTATTATAGAAACATTCAAGACTGTCATAGTTGTTATTAYAAATAGGTATTCGTGGAAAGTTTTGAAGCTATGGACCAAATACTAACAAAGTTATGAGAAACTCACGATTAGTGCTCGATGTATGAACAATCGCCGTGTGGGTATAGAGTATTAGTTAACATATATTACCGTTAATAAATCTCGTTTAGGCCAGTGTCAAACTTCAGACGTAATTCTTTGAGCTWACTTTTGTCAGTCAAATTTCCTTCTGTAATCAAGCTTTCTGCACGAAGCTTTTTAATGCAAATTATTTAGTGCCAAATGTCAGCTTAAGGTAAAGTCTGTGTGTTTTTAAAAAGACAAATTGGAAATTAGTATTCATAGTTGTAATTTATTATAACGGAAGTACAGCAAAAGTGTCGATCCTAATGAAAATGAGCTCAAACAATGAATTTCGCAAGTTATGACCTTAAATTTCGTGGCGAAAACTTTAAAAGYTCAACGTTTTACTTAGACAAGGATTGAAACGATATAGCGGTATATTAGCGTCAGTTGTCAAAGAAAAATCAATGATTTAGGAATTAGGGAAAGATAATTATATTATTTAGTTATAAGAGCATCTTTCCCAGAGATGGTTTTGTTAAAGGAATGAATAACAATTTCAATAATTATGACATTGTAGGTTTGTCTGGTATTTTATAGTGCATGATGATACATGTATTTTTAAATCAGGCCATCAAAGTAGAAAATTAATCCTCTTCTGTGACTTAACACGAAAACTGCGTAACTTATCTTTTAGGATACTCTCCCATTTTAAAGCTAGGGTAGACCCAATTAGAATTTCACTCCTTGGTATGTTCTTCACTAGTTCAGGATATTGTAAATACAAATAGCGGATAATTTAGTTTTTAACTTTTTTTTATTTATTTTTTTATTTTTTATTTTTTTAATTTTTTATTTTTATTTTTTATTTTTTGGCGAGCTCAGTTTAGTGCTTTCAGTAAAATCGTGAAACCCTTATTACTAAGATGCAAAAATTCATATTAATTTTGTTTTTAAGTTCCATTTTTAGTTCAATTTCTTAGTGATATTCAAGATCATAAAAAAGAAATGAAAAGAAAGAAAGAAAAAGAAAAAAGAAAACACCTGACACACCGTCAGTACAAAGACTTGTTTGAAAACGAAAGCCGAGGCAATTATTTCAAGGACAAAGGTTGTTGAAGTTGTTGYTGGAGCATGATTCTGTACTGAATTACTGGTAGGATGTAATATCTCACTTCAGTTATAGTATTTTTAATTAAAAAAAACCTYTTCAATCATCGTTCCAGATGCCAAATCTCAGAGCTCAAACCGCATTCTTTACAAATTCAGCATGCATCTCAGTGCGACGAGTTATACAACATCAAAATGAAAAACAATTTTCTGGAATGGATTTTCRCGYTTACAAAATTGGAAAAAAAAAWTCAAAAGATGATTACTAGACAAACATTTATCTGATATCAGCCCATAATACCTTTCTAGCGTGACGATGTAGGATATGATATGCGATAGCGGACATATTTGTATAAGTTTCAAGCCTGCATCTCGTAATGATTTGTATTCTTTATTAAAATCCACCAACCACATTAAAAAGAAAGTTATGCATTTAATTAAAGGGAGGAAACCAATGATTGATACCTGCAGTTCAATTTTTTACTCTATTCTCGAAATTTCCAAAGATCTAGAGAATCCGAATTGTGGTACGTCCAGCCAGAGGAAAAATCAGTTTTTCATGCAATGCAGACCTTATAGTTGTGGCAACACTCAAATCAAGCGCGTCTTATACTTTTTTAACTTTTCATCTCAATCGAAGAAGGCTTCAAACGGACTTCCAAAGTCTGGTAATTACGGACGCTCTGCGCAATATAAGATAAGACATATCAGCCATATATATATGCCAAGCCATAAAAACGGACTGAATCTCCTTGCTTAGCAAGCAATAGAATGTGATCTTCAGTATAGACATAGTCTGGTCCAACTGTTGCGAAAAGGTTTAAGCCAACATAACATGGATTCATTGAAATTATGTTTGCTCKTTGTTTCTCTTCTCTCATCTCCATCTACAGAAGATGGAATTTACAAAGACGGTCAAGTCATTATTGGCGCTCTGTTACCAGTCCGATACCAAAACGAGGATGGCTCATGCGGACAGTTGGGACATGATGGACTTGCCTATGTGGAAGCAGTGTTGTATGCMATAGAAAAAATAAACAAAGATAACTCCCTCTTGCCAAATGTGACTTTGGGATATGATATAATAGACATTTGTACAAGCCCAGCATCGGCAAATACCATGGCATTCGAGTTTGTTTCTAGAAATAAAGCTACAAAACTCAARTACCAAGTCAAAGACACGGCGGATAACTTCAAAAAATACTTTGGAATYCTTCGRAAGCCKATTGCAGCAGTTGTGGGAACTGGAGATTCCAGCAGCTCTGTAGTTGTCGCCAGCATGTTGAATATTGATGATATTCCTCAAGTCAGCCCGTTTGCCACTAGTGTRGAACTSAGYCAGCCCTATTTCAAGACTTTTTTCAGGCCAGTTCCACCAGACGGGCAACAAGCCAAAGCCCTCGCTGACCTTGTAGACTATTTCAAATGGAAATACGTTTACGTAGTTGGTGTTGATACGTCGTATGGGAGATACGGTCTGATGGCCTTTGAGAATGAAGCATTACAAAGAGGCACGTTTTGYATATCTCACATATCCTACTTCCCATCATCCGGTTACCAGCAAATAATGAAATCGATAGTTTCAAAAATCAAACTTGCGTCGAATGTGAAAGTGGTAGTCTTATGGGGTGACATTGCTATCTCGATTCGTTTTATAGAAGAAGCGTACAGGCAGGGCATTACCGGACGAACTTGGCTTGCACCTGAAGGTTGGTCCGAGGCAACACCTYTMTTTAAAAACAAATACATGAAAATAATTGGAGGATTTATGGGAACAAAACTGCGAAACTACAACCTAGATGCATATTTTCACCATTTTACCAGCTTGAACTATTCATCTACAAGAGTTCAGAACCATACTTGGTGGAGAGAGTACTGGATGATCCAGCAAAACTGTAAAAACATYTTGACATGCGACTTTAAAAACTTTCGCATCACAGAAAAACGATATAACGACATGTACACTGCCTACCTCTCTTACGTAATTGACGCCGTCTATGTTATTGCCCATGCTCTACATGATATATACCGCTGCCGTGGGAATGGTTGCCCTAGDACTGAACCATTTATTGATACAAAAGACATTTTAAGATACATGCGCAATGTAACSTTCGAAGGAGTAACGGGAAAAGTCGAATTTGATAAAAATGGAGACTCCATTCGTTCGACCGCCTATGATATTGTTAATTTACACGCAGGGACAACTGCCCCTCAGTTGRAGATTATTGGCACATGGGATCGAGGCAAGGCAAGGCGATTAAAKATAAGCAACARTTCGTTGTATTGGAACAACGGYWCYAACAAKGTTCCAGTATCRRTATGYAAAGAACCTTGTCCACCAGGGYACATGCAGACARTGACAGTAGCATGCTGTTGGAAGTGCATCCGCTGCCCAGWTGGTTTTATMAGTCAACATTACAGTTCTTTGTACTGTACGGAGTGTCCAATTGACAAAATGCCCGACCAAGATCGGACAGAGTGCATTGACTTGCCAGAAGTGAATRTCTCATTTYWTGATTCTCAATCMATTGTTCTCCTCGTGGTGGCGGCCATCGAGCTTATTTTGGTTCTCTTTGTCCTKTACATCGGCTTGAAATATCGAAATACRCCAATTGTCAAGTCTTCCAATCGAGAAATGAGYGTCTTATTTCTTTTCGGTATAGTCGTTGGTATAGTATCTGGAGTTATCCTCSTTGCTCGCCCTACACCGTTGATTTGYTACTTCAACAACCCTCTTCATGCCCTCTACTAYACGCTATGCTTATCGATTCTAATCGTCAAGACCAACCGAYTGGTTCGAGTGTTTGAATTCAACTTTGTCTCTACAAGACTTAGTCAACTCTGTAATCTTAAGAATGCGCAATTTGTGATTCTGTTCTKTTTAAACGTGACATCAATAGTATTGGTGACATTATGGCATGTGCTCGACCCACCTTATGTTCACGTTACAACGGAACGTTTTAAGTCAAAGCACTTAGGATGCAGAGGACATAAGAGAACTGTTGGCCTTGCTCTTCAAGCATCATTGTATGCATACCAGTTCAGTCTGTCCATCTTCTGTGCTTACTACGCGTTCAAGGCCAGGAATCTACCAGCAAAATTTAGCGAAGCACGTTACATTGCCTTTGCAATGTACATGCAACTTCTGTGTTCGATGTGCTATGCTATATTGCAAAACACTGTGAAGGGGAACTTTTTAACAATTTTCTCGTCCGCAATCGTAATTGTAAGTTCCTTTGGCTTCCTTGTATGCATGTTTGCTCCAAAGGTCTACATCATTCTGAAATTCCCTGAGAAAAATACTGTGAAGTACGTAAAATCATCTGTGGCAAATCATTCMTTTCAAGGAAGCTTTCATAATATTATATCGCTCGGTGTTGTTAATGGAGCAAATGTGCGTAGTAGTCATAGCAACATGAAGGAAGTAATAAGCAATAGCCATTCAAAAGCCTCCGCTAGAGTAAACACAGASGTTGGTGAACGCCGCGAAGACCCCAATGGAGTTGTTGCCATAGAAACAGAAATCTGCAATTACAACGACTCCGGCAGAGTTTCCAACGATGGGAAGAAAGCTGAAGACTGYAACAAAAGTTCCGATACCGTTGTCAAGAAACGAACAAGTTTAGATGTTCCAAMAAATGGAGGTATTTTTGAGGCCACTATTCCTCACCAACAGGAAATGAATTCTTGGCCAAAAAACACATATCAAGTGTATTTCAACCAAGTYCAATCAATACCAAAAAGAAAAATCAGAATAGTGATCGAGAGACCGCCCATTTTTGAACAAGAAATACWAAATACCAAAAATCAAGATGACACACACTTGTAACTAAAAAAAACGAGTTCTTGAGAGGACATGTGCTGTCCCATAAAGGCTAATTTGGAAACATTTCATTCACAATGAGAATATAGGGCTAGAAAAACAACTTTTTATAAACTTAAGCTTAGTATTATAACCATTTTGATTCGATGTGTACAATGTATAAGCTAAACTTAATTAACTTTAAGATTAGATCAAATAAATGGTTGTAGGTTGGTCTATTCATTACGATGTAAGCGCTACTTCAATCTAAAAGTTATTTATTTTTGTCGAGCTTTCTTCTCAGAGCGCGCGCTCATTGTTTTTATGTTGTTTTGTAAAATGTAACGTTTTTCATTCAGTCTTGATAATGGCTCGGTGAGCCGAAAGCTCGACAAAAATAAATAACTTTTAGGTTGAAGTAGCGCTTACATCGTAACTTTAAGATTATTTTGCAGAAACGAAAGAGTAACNGTAACAAGAGGCCGTTATGCATGAGCATGCGCGCAACCGCTGCGTTATAACGACCATGGGCTCTAGAATACGGGTAGAATAACATTGTAGTAGCTGCGGAAGCTTCGATTCTGAACATAATTGATGTTTTTACTTATCTTCCACATTTTTCCAAACAAAACCAAGTAGATATATTTACAATGCACACGAATATCTTTCAAACTTTATATAAATTACTGTGAGTCTCGGGCTAGATTTATAACACGAAGCCACTTTGTACCGTTAAAATGTAGTGAATTATTTGTGCACACCTTTAGCAATAATAAATTCCTAAGATGTGAATCGATTGCACTGCAATAGTTTATTTCATAACTTATAATGATACAGCTATAGAACTACACATAGATATTTATGATAACTTGATTCAAACAAGCTCAACTCTTCAGCCAAAAGAATGCTAAATCTGTCGTGAGTGCTCAACAGAACGTAAGAATTTGCAGAATTAACACCGTTCCACATTTTGCATAGACAAGAATACATTATCAAACCATTTGCAAAGCATAAGTCTTGATATTGGTAGCCTTATTCTAATGAGTCCTGGTGGTATATAAAAGGAAAGTAGTATTTCATGTAACAGTTAATAATATTTAAGCGTAAATATTGTACACTTCAAGAAACTGTCTTTCGAACATTTCGAGGTCGATGTTACTAAACGATGCCTCATTATATTACTACATGTGTACATTTACCATTTACTTCATGACCTGCGTTGAATCTTGACCAGCACTCAGCAAAAACTGGAATAGTATTTGCGTATATAAAGCACTGCAGCCTCCATATTGCAAACACAAAGTCATTAATATCAACATTTCTTACGGTCCCAATCAGTCCAATAACGCCAGTGTTTTTCCTCGTTGCCGGTAGGTTACACTATTTATGAGTGTTCTTGAGTAATGACAGAACATTTCAGGGTCAAAAACAGCCAAAAACATTTTTGGAAATTGTCCTTCGTTTCGTTGTAATTTTTCGATTGAAGTGAATCACTAGTGAATTTCAATGAATTTTCAACAGACTGGCGCATGCGCACGCCAAACGGCCCCTTGTTTCTTGTGGTACCTTGTATTGCTTATTACCATTATTACTCTTATAATTGTTAAGATTTATAAAAAATAGAATAATCCAGTTTCGAATTCTCCAATGCTCTGTGTTAGCCTCATTTGTGCGCAAGAGCGTTTCCTTGCATAAGTGTACTGGAAGCCTAAACTATCATGAAAATTTCAAAGAGCTTCAAATAACAAATTCACAGACAMCTGTGACTAAGTAAAAGCGGCTTTAAAAAAATCCATCTTGCTGTTTGATCGTTTATTAATAATATTAGAAACGTTTTTCTGTCTAACTTTAATAAATCGTTCATTGTTTGGTGCTACCATGAGAATCTCTTTTCGTGAAAAGCTTTTGCGGTCCCACATGGCAGCGCCGGTGACGGAGTACCTGGTAAAAGTTTACAACAGTTTGATAGAGTTCTTTTGGAAGAAAAATATTATTTTGTCTCTGAACGTTGCGCTTGAATATTTCCCTTTTCCAGAAGTGCTATTCTTATAGATTACAATTCATGCTAAAAATGGAAAAAAAGACCGTCTTTGCGATCTGTTCAGAAAGGTGGTACAATGTTTTGGAGTGAAACGGATTATCTTGCATCAATCTAGAATAATTTGTCCCAATTTAAACTGCGGCCAAAAATCATAATGTTAAAAAAAGAAGAGCAAAAAAGTAAAAGAAGAAGAAACAGGTGGGGAAAAAAAGGGGAAAAAAATCGAGTACAAAACGGTCACCCATCCGAATGGATGACCGTTGCGCCCAGCCACGAGGGAGGTGATTAGTCGGATCCTGGTCCATTCGTGACTAACCCCTTCTGGTTTGCATGTCTTTTCTAGATCCCATTATTGTAGTGTATTAGGCGCGCGGGCTCCCTTGACTTTGAAACCTGTACAAGAGCGTTTCCTTGCATGAGTATACTGGACGCCTAAAGTATCATGAAAATTTCAAAGAGCTT